AATTCACATAAAACAACTAATGTTTAGGAAAATTAAAAATAAACACAGAAGGGGATATCAAATACAGAAAAAAGCTTACATCTTGTCGAGAGTATGTGTAAGCCAAAGCCATCTTGGACTGGGCATTGCCACCTTCGGCAGCGAAATAATGATTCAAAAAGTTTTTAGCTTTATTTCTCTCACGCATTATCCCCATCCCGTACAGAAAGCCTAGAACCGAACGCGCGTGAGGATCACCTTCGGTGTTAGCAGCCGTCTCGATCTCAACCGCGGATTCCTCCATCAACCTGGAGTCACCGTGAGTGGAAGCGGATATCATCTTATCGACTGCGGTGTAGTAGGAATCGAGGGAGGGGGAGACCGGGGAGGTAGAGGGCTCGAAGAGGCGGCGCCATGAACCGGGATCAAGCTCGTCGTCAGACTTGACATGAGTACCGCCGAAGTCGTCGTCGTCGTCCCAGGAAGAGTCGGATTCGAGGGGGGAAGCGTCGTCGTTTTGGACGTCCTTGAGGTCGTCCTGGGAGAGGACGAGAACGAAAGGGCGGGCGAGGAGGGAAAGAGGGAAAAGAGAGAGGAGTAGGAGGAAGATGAATAGATGGTAGCTTGACCTAGGAGGAGGATACACCCTCATGTTTGTCGGAAACAGTCAGGATTTGTCGGAGGTGAATTCCACTCTAATGAATTACCTTTTGGGAGATGATGACTCAGATCCTCTCCATTCCATAAAGAGAGAGAAACGCCTTGATCCATTTCGCCACGTTCATTCACCCAATAACTTCTCGACATCTCAGCCCCCTCCGATTTCTTTAATTATTTAAAACACTAAATAATGGAAATATATATTCTGATACTAGTAATACAAATTCAACAATTTACTAGTAAATTTTTTACATTCATTTGTAACATGGTTCAGCTGTTTGTTTAATGGGAACTTATCTTCATATGCATATTATGTGTACATTATTTGCTAAAAAATCCTGCAACTCTGAAATAGCCCCCCAAAAATAAATCATTATGTTTTTATAGCAAAGAAAAAGTTCCAAGGAAATGCCGAGCTCACTTAAATATGGTACAGGTATTGCCAAGTCTTGGCATTATTGATGTGTTCCAACATATAAGAAAAAGGCCATTTCAAATGGCCGGAGTCTACCTTCCTTTCATTCAGCTTGCATACTGGGCGATCTTCCTTTCAAGTGTACTTTTATCAGCCCCTACTACCTTATCAACTTCCTTCCCATTTCTTATAAAGAAAATGGTTGGTACACTGCTAATGTTCCAACGACCCGCTAAGTCCCGCCCCATGTTGCTGTGAAGTACAATATCACCAGACGAGATGTTCTTGTAGCAGCATTCAACTTAGTGTCCAGCTCACTTGTGGAATGAATGCCAACAACCTGCCCTGTAATTTCAAAACAATAGCAAGGTAACATAAATGGATTTCGTCCCACGACTGATGTAACATAATTCACACACAAAATTAATGATCTTAATGGTTGGCGGTATGGACTCTTTCCATTTATCCACAAGTTTCTTATGAACAAATGTCTGAAAGTCTAAAAGCAACTTAAAAATATCAACATGGATGCCATGCCATCTAACCAAGATATTGACGAGTTATTAAACATGCTGCATTATAAGCATCAAGTGACAATCATGATGAACGAGGATAACTACAGCAGAAACCACATCATACAAATAGTAATAAGTTTTAACACCTTTAAGGGGATTCCTACAAGAAGCATAATCATCTTTTAGATGCAGGAAAAGCCATCTCTAAGACTAATGGTAATCTCAGTTCATCAAAGATAACATTCTCTCTAATGAGCGACTCAATTAAGGCCTATATAAAGCATTTACATAAGAAAAAAATGAATGAAAAAAGAAAACTGTTTGTACCATCTTTGAAAGCAGATAATGCTTCCTGATCCTGCACAAATTCAAAGATAATTTTCAGAATAAATGCAGCGACCCATTTATACATGACAGACCAGAAAGTTAAAAATGGATGGGAATACTTAGTTGACAATATTCTATTAATTTATTTGACACCTATAGCCCCTACAACCACATAAACAATGAAAACTAAACATCATAAGCTTCCCCTGTAACCATATCTAACAACATCAATGCAAGATATTCTTGATCAGTGAATCAGCTTGTACTGACCATTCCGAAAGCACTAAAAACATCCCAGTTCTTGATTGGATAGTCAATTACTTTAATGAAGTGATCCCTTCAAGACAAAGAAAATAGAAAATAATTCGGGCTTAAGTTGGCAGGGCATCCTAAACTTTATTCTAATAAGATATTAATTGTTTAATCATAATGAGCCCATGACAAAGTTTATGCACCAAAATAGAGTGATAAGTTTTATGGAATATAATGACACGATCAAATCAAAATAGAGTGATAAGTTTCTTGGGGTTATTGGGTAGACCAACCGACTGGTTCTGTAGAAAATTCTATAATATTTGTGAGGAGGAGGTTCCCACCTCAAAAGTGGAAGATCACTCAAGAATATGTGCTGTTGCTGATCGTTGCGATCAGAAGGGCTTAAGTGTTGATGAACGTCTTGTAAGAATTGCGGAAATGCTTGAAAAGATGACAGACTTATTTGCTAATAATGCTATGCAACATTCAGGGAGCCCAGATGTTGCTAAAATATCAAATTCGAGTGTGACTGAGGAATCTGATGTTCCATCTCCTAAACTAAGTGACTGGTCCAGGAGAGGTTCAGAAGACATGCTTGATTGTTTTCCGGAAGTGGACAATTCAATTCTTATGGTTGGGGGAATGTGAGAGAATCCACATTCTCTCATTTTGTTGACCGAGAATGTTATTCTCGGTAATCTTACATTACTAATAGTTGATTTTTTGGGGTATATTACTGGAAATGTCATTACCTCCCTTTCCTTAGGTATTGTTGGATTACCGACGTTTTGGACTAAAATGTCCTTATTTTTTTTAAAAACAATATTCTTATTCTGTCATTAAATAATAAAAATTCTACGAAAGTTAAATTACAAATTTATCCTTAAACTATATAAATTTTATGAATTTTTTTTAAAAGAAAATATATAAATATTTTCTAACTTGTTAAAAAAATAAATATATAATAATGACAATTTGGTCAAGTATAGATTTCAATAATCTTTTATTCTCTTAATCAAACACGGTAATTTTATATTACTGCTAAATCAACTAAACACAAAATACAACATTCTCAGTAATCTTATTCCCTAATAATCTTTTATTCCCACTAATAATTTTATATTACGTGAACCAAACGTACCCTAAGGTTTTGCCATCAATTTCCCGTAAAACTCACTTTGGTCGGAAATCTGATCAAGGAATGACAACATCATCTGCAGGAAGCATGACTCCTAGATTCCCTTTATTGACACCAAAAAAATAGTCAGACAGACTTGTTATTGTCAGGCAAAGGTACCTTTTCGGAGCAAGGAGATCTCCCACAGGTATCCTTTTTCCAGTTTTTTATTTCAGAAAGAGGTGCTTTAGTTTCTATGTACTGATTTGCAATGCACCTTTATTTTCCTTTAATTTTTCCTCCATATCTAGCTATCCTCTCGTTTTGTCTTCTTCATTTTGGTTGTTTTAATTTTCCGCTCTGACCAAGATTATTTCCTATCGCGCTATGGGCTTTGATGATTACGCGCGCCTTAACACGCGAAATATTGCCTTCCTAACTAAGCTAAGCGGAGCTCTTGCCCTGTCATATTGTTCGGTCCACCCTTCTCTAACACTGCGCTAATAAAGCACGGGGCTATTAAGATATAGAATATGTCTCCTACACTCTTTCAATGTCTTAAGATTTGGAATCTCAGCCATACTCCCCATTCTTCATTGAGGGGTGAAAAGAATCACCAGTTGATGCGGAAGAAGTCGTTTTAACGAAAGGTGACGGAGCGGAGAAGCTTAACCGGCGAGGAGACAGAGTTATATATATTACTAATCTATCAAGTCCTGAGTTCGACTGCTTTCCTAATAGAGTCGGGCGATATACCTTTTGGCCATCTTCTTTAGCTTATTCGCTTCGTATCTATCATCCGGTAAGATTATATTAGATACTTGATATATGGCTGTCTCCAATCCACTACATTGATAAAGGCACATTCTGTTTATTCTGCTTTATCGGGAACAGGCTTCTTCCCGAGCTTAAAATATTTAAAAGTAAAAATATTTTTTTATAAGTATCGATATTTTTAAAAATTTTAAAAATAAAGAATGATATACTTTTCCACAAATATCTATATTTTTAAATTCTAAAGTTTTTTTTAAAATTTGAAAGTATCGATACTTTTGAAAAAAAATTGATACTTTACAATCTTCTCAATTTTCATGTATATATATATTTGAATTCAAAAGTGTTTATAAAGTATTCATACTTTCAAATTTTTTATAATAAAAATATTAACACGTAAATTTTGAAAGTATTAAACGTTTTCTACAAATATCGATACTTTTAAATTTAAAAAAATATGAAAAATAAGAAAGTTGTAAGGTATCTATACTTCTTTTAAATATGATTCCAAACCAATAATAATCCCTTATACAGTCTCCGTAGCTCGGCGTCAAGGACCGAACAAAGTCCGATAACATTCGTGAATCCCACAAACCACTGCCCATGATAATCTCTTAACACACAGGTAGACCAGAACTTTGTCAATTGATTATGCTGTCACCCTTAATATAAGTTAAATTAAATTATTTTTAGTAGATAAGTAATTTGAATCTTTCTTTATTATAAAGAATTAATTTAATCTTTTTAATTAATTGATTTTCTAAATTAAGATTGATAAGGAAGTAGGAAAGAACAGAAGGTGTTATCAACAATTTATATTTTCCCAAAATTTACATATATCAGGAAAAAATCAAAGCATCAGGTTAGAGGAGGACAAATTTTACATGGATAGAAAGAAGAATAAAAATATCCCAAACAATGTTGAGGCCCAATATGAAAAACAAATACCCAAAAAGAAAATTTGAGTTGGGTTAAAAAAAGAAAAAGAAAAATGAACTTCAATTCTTTTATCCTATGCGTTCCACTTTTACTCATGGACACCTTACATTCCTTCCAGGGCCACCATAGTAAAAGTACGTTCCCCAAACACTATTTCTTCCTTGTCTGATGTCATAACAGTTTGAATGATCGGCCAACAGGCGCGGGTTTGTTAGAGGCAGCAAATTATTATCCCAATCAACAGTCTGCAAGTTTCGGAAATAAGCTACCTTTCCAAAGCCTTCTTCAGCAAAATGGCCACTATCCATTTGTGTTGATGTGTGGAATCCGGACGATCTAGTGTTCACTATTTCTCCTCCAAATTGTATAATGTTGGCATGGCTTCTTAAGTGACTGAACAGAAACGCAGGCCAGTATCCAACTAGCAATCTTGATCCAAATTCTAACCACCAATGTCCATGTTTTGGATCCTACAAAAACACACACTTTCAGTGTTGGACGATGTTGCCCTTCTTTTATGTTTTATTTGTCACCGCCTGATTGAATCTTTTCTTAAAATTTTTCTTGTCTGCTTAGAATGTTGTTATCTCTGGAATGTGAGATGTAACATGAAGTACCCAAAAAAATCAAAGATTTTTTCTTCTTATTCTTCTATTTTTTTTTTACTTTCAACGGCATCACCCAATTTTCCTCTTATGTTTAAAAATATTGATGTTATAAAAAACTGGGGGGGGGGGGTGGGGGTTGTGTTTGACAATTGATTTTTATATATTTTTTAAATTATGGATAAGATCATTCTTTTATTTTCAAATGTTATGTTATATATTAAGAAAAACATGATAGAAAGCATTTATGTTGACACTATCATCAATTATTTTGCATCAGGAAATACTTGAAGACAAATTTTTATCAATTTTTATATGTTTAAATATATTTTTGATATTATAATAGATTAATAAATGTTTAATTTAATAAAATGTTCTAATAGAAATTTTATATGACATATTTATTAAAAAAAAATTGAATTAGGGGCCATTTTTTAATTTCGTCTTGAGCTAAAAAATAGTCAGAATCAGTCCTATTGCTTAAAATATAAAAATAATAAATAAAACTTGCTTTTTTTATCATTTTTTGAAAATGACACCATATTGTTAATTTACTCCGTTCATAACTTGGTGTCGCTCTACTTTGGAGAATTGTGCAAGCACTCACCTTCCAAACCATTATATCGATGTCAAACTGCCTGGCATTGTAGGAGGACATTGGAGAGATGGCTGCTCCAATAGCAATCTTATTGTTGGTTTGGACAAACCCAGAGCAAAGCAAGTTGTAGCACCCAGTGGCTTGGTATGCATCAGTCTGTATATTCAAAGTCAATTAGTCGGTTCGTTTTTTAAGGTAAAAAGGAAAGTTTCCTACTAGGAAAGGAGACATTTCGAGATTTTACTCACCGTCCAGTATGTGAAGAACCTAGGGTAATTGTCTCCATATAGTTCAGGACTAACCTGAAGTAAGATGAATGCAGTTGTGCATTAGAACCAAAACCATACAGTATCTATGAAAAGTATTATACAAAATAATTTTACACGTTGATAATTGAATACAACTTCGAAAATGATTTTGCAGAAAACTCGTGTTTTCACACACCATTTTGATGTTTCTAGTATACTATTTGATTGCTAAATATATGACAGAAGGTTCTGTTCAGGATGCAAATGAAGATAAGGATTTATCAATGCAGGGATTCTTAATATGTACTAAAAATTCAGGGACATACCTGCCAACCAGCTTCAATGGTATTAAGATCATTGCCGAAAGAACCAGAGATTATCCATATCTGTGACAAGCTAAACTCGTATTCATTAGTCACTTGAGGAGCCCACACGTTTAAGCTTGCCTTTGCACCATAATACTGATCTCCGTTCACAAACACAACAGCATGCTGCAGTAAGAAACAAAATTGTCAAAAATTTTGCATGATTTCATATATTCATATATATCGCCTTGATGAGAACCAAGTTATAATCGGCATCAAATTATAAGTGATTGGCTATTATGAGATGTAAATTTCAATTACATGAAAAGAGCAGTGCTGTATAATTGAAAATAAACTGTAGAGTCTAATGTCTCTTCACTGTCTGCCTTTTATTCCTTTTGCTGGAGAGGTTCCAGGAATAAAAAATGGAATCTAACACAGATTTTTTTCTATAAATCTACGCATCCCAATCCTGGATTACTAAATAATAAGAAAATGAATCAATGAACTTTTGGTCAGCATGTAACAAAGTATGTTTTGTAATGATCAAGTCGTTTTCGCCAAGAGTACAAATTGCCAGAATCCCAAACTGGTTTTATTCTTCGTGGATTGATGAATGCAAGTTAGACGTTGGATAGGTTTTGCTTTTTCTGATGCAGAACGTGGTTTAAGGATCAAGGTACTAACCTCATGGCCGCTGCCCGTTGAGTCTCTTCTAACATGTCTTCTTATTCTTCCATGTCTTCTAAAAGAACTTGCTCTCAAAATGTCTTTCCCTGTAGTTCTTCTGATTGGAACAGTTCCTTTGGGGCAAGATTCACCGGAGGCAGTCCATAGCTGCAAGTTTTCAGAGTTTGCTTCAGTAGAATTATGACGTTTTGGCCTCGCCGGTGGATCCTGTCAAAATGATGTTCAATTAATTTGCTTCACTAAGAAGGGTGCGATGCTCCAAAGTCCAAACTTGCAAAGTTTTAGGTAGAGCATAAATTTACCAATGGTTGCTGCCCTCTAAGCTCAGGGTGATCAAAAGCAGGTTGAAGATGAGAGAGAACGCAATCTATGATATCACCATCTGGACTCTGCAGGAAAAAAAAAGACCTTGTGAATATGAAGCTACAAAGGAAGCACTATTCTTAGACACCCATGGAAAAGGAGTAGAAGATATTCCAAAGAAAGATATGACGGGGAAAAAATTGCCTGAATTGTCTTCACAGCAGGCTTATTGACCCTCTTGAGATAAGCATTTATTCTCCTTAGCTTCTGAATCTCCTTAGCAGGTTTAAAAGTATGGTTTTTCATTTGCTTGTGACTGGAATCAGACATTAATGGTGAGGAAAGGACAGGGCCAAGAGAAGAAGCAATGACAAGCAAACCAACAAAAAGAGGAATCATTGAGAAATTGTTGTGGGCAACAGAAGAAGCCATAGTTATGGAATGTTTTTGAGCAGTTGTTGTTTGTCTAGATAGGAAGGAATGTGTTTGTGAACATTGGTGTTGTCTTGTTGTGATCACCACACATCAGTGTTTATTCCCGATTTTGACTTCCAAAAGAAGAAAAGAGAGAAAACAGGGAGGAAAAAAACACCCCTCCGACTCTCCGAGGACTTCCACCTCTACTGCTACTCCATTTTTCAAGTACAAAACAAAACTCTCAAACTCTTCCTATGTGTAAATTGCAAGAGATCCTAAGTAAGATTCTCGGAATTTTTCTCTTTAGCTCCGAGATTCTGACACAAAAGAAAATTCGAGCATGAGTGTGTTAAAATAGACCTCACAATTCACAATCAGAGCTGGTCTTGTACTATACGAGTTTTACCCATGACGAGCGCAGATCGCGGCCAAAACCGATATGTTTTTTATTTGAAAGGTTTAAGGAAAAAAGAAATAAAAAGATGGTAAAGGAAAGTGAGGACTGAGAGTTTAGGTATGAGTTGGAAAGAAGTGGGCCAGTTAGAAATGATTTTTTCTTCTATTATATTCTTTGCTTTGAGTTTGAGCTATGAAACTAACGGAAAGATTAATTTATACCATTACATACATTATTGACGAGTTGTTCTTATTTTCTTTCTCCCTCTTGGCTGTAGTTACGCAAAGGATTGTAATTTCCCCTGTATTGTTCTCGTCACTGTCATCCTCAAGAAAACAAAATAAAGAGAAAATGTAACACGATTTAGATCTACATTTATTTTGCCAAGACAATAATAAAGAAGAAATTTCAATAAACAAATTTAGCGTGTTTTTATATTTTGTTTTGCAAAACATAATTTGCAGAATAAGTATTAGATCATGACATATAAACCCACTGGGTAAAAAATATCAATCCCATGTAGGTCACTCCATTTATAAAATTAAATCAAACTAAAATAAAATTGATTTTGATTATTAATATTGTGATGGATCTCCTAAAAATAAAAGAAAAAGTTAGATACAATAAAAATAATTAGTCCCTTTTATCCATGTATATATTTTAAAAAATATTCAAATATATTGATTTTTTTCAAAATTAAAAAAGAAATCTAGGAATTATCTTTTACACGACAAAGAATATCATGTTAACATAAAAAGGGTCATTTATTTTACTGTGTTTTCTCTCTTACTATTTTTTCCACCGAAAGATTTTGTTAATTCAAATTATGTTTATATTTTCTATATGGGCTATTTAATGTATTTGAGTTTAACATAATTGTATTGAAACAGAAAGGAACAAGGAGTAACACCACATTCTGGTCCTGCAATCACTATAAAAAAGTAAAGAACATTTGTACATTTTAGTGGGGCAATTGCAATGATCTTGTCAAATAAATCATGATGACAGGGGAAACAATTTAATCTTTTCCCAAAACCTTTTTTTCCGAATAAAAAAATCTTTTCTTTTCTTAATATTATTGGCACATAATTAAATGTAAAGATAATGGTAGCGGTCCAAGGCAGCAATATAGGTAGAGAAATGCTTATCTAATAATACCAATTCAATGTTTTATGATGAGATTTTTTTAAAACAAAGTTGCGTAACTTGTAATTATATTTTTATGTTGTGTAAGTTTAGAATCCGGTGGTAAATACATGCATTTGAGTGGGAAAAGAAGTTGTTTAATTTCTTTTCTTCTGTCTCGCACAATTGGTTTAATGGTTACTAAGTTGGTAATTGGGTGATATGATGAGCAACTTAATGCGTATTGGTGCCCGTGCATGGATTTTGGCAATGCCCACTGGGGACATTAGGACTGCGATTCTGCAACATTGTCAAATTTATAATCCATCACATTGCATCAACTATATTTTCTAGCCAAGAACTGAACCTAAAAATGCTCAAGTTATCAGTACGAGTTGTTAATTTTAAATCAATTGCATCATTTGTTTTGCAATTAACAATTTTTCATGTTTTTATGATCACTTTCAGAGAAAACTGCCCCAAATAGTCGATACTTCCTCTCCTCTTTTCATTGGAAAAGAAATGAAATTAGCAAAAGAAAAGACACTATCCTTCATTTGTATTTTGGTAGCAATGCTGTCAAATCCATAACATTAGCAACTAACTATTTCAAAACCAATCAACATCCGGATTAATTTTTACTAAACAAGTGGTAAAAATATGGCAAAAAATGAATCCAAATTAAGGCAATAATAAGGCCGGGGACCCAGTCTTTTCCCTATCTCCACAGTGGTCGATTAAACCTGTTGACAAAATCAAGGCTTTAAGAAGGAGAAGCTTCAGAACGCCACAATATAGATCCTTAACCTTAAATTTGTTACGAAAAATACTTAAATCTAGCCATGCTGATGTATATTTTACATGCATCATAATGGTAGAGTTTGCTTACTATTAAGCTTATGGCCTCAGGGAGGTGAAGGCCCTGCTTCCTGCACCATTAGGAAATCTCTCTAGGCAATATTTATTCTAGAGTTGAATAAAGAAGCCTAAAGATCAGTCCTAGAGAAGTAGAGGGGAAGAATGATTAGTAATCTAAAACGTAAATTGATCTTTAATACTGGCAGTAGATTTTAATAATCCTTTGGATTAGGGTCTGACTGTGGGCATTGGAGCACTAAGATATGGGGAGTTCGTCCTTGGTTGGGATGCTTGCCACTTCCAATATCTCTCGTTTAGTCTATACTCTTTTGTTTATTTATTACTTTTCCTCTCTTCTTTTCACAAATGCGCACTTATTGCCTCACCCACCTCTGCAGCAAATTAAAGCAAGCTAGCTGTTGAGGAATATTGGGCCACTGAAAGTCTCCCTCAATTTTTAAAACAACTGGCGTGGCCATGGGGGGATTATGAAGGTATTTCTGTGCAGCCAACATGCATTCTTTTTGGGTAAAGTTAATTTAGCTTCAGAGAATAGATTCCAAACCCCACCCCTAGAAACTGTAAGGTGACGGATGGTGCGCATGCACTCAGATTTGAAAATTTGTGTGTCGTAATAATACTAGTAATACTTTGCTTTCATGGATAAAAGGTATGATTTAATGGCATTATAATTATAATCTATGACAAAGGCTGTCAAGACCATGCTTTTTCAAAAAAACTTAAAATATGCCGGTGATTTAATCACTATAATTTTTTTTTTCATTTTTAAAATTTAAAAAGTGACAGCACATTTTGTATTCTCTAAGGTGTTTTATATCATTTATGACATCACTAAACTCTTTTCCGTGTTTGAATGTGTGACTCGTGGATAAGTCAACTTCTTTCAACGCAGGGTCGGTGATTCTAAAAAAAGCATATGTTATTTTGAGCTTACAGAACGGAGGTAAAAACTACATTTTCAAATACTACATTTTCGAACTAGATGGACTTCTAAGTTTCCCCCTTTGATCTAGTATCCATTTTATTGTTCACCTGTAGCATTCACGCATCAGTAATAAAACAAAGGTAAAATCACTAATTATGTATTATATTAAACTGTGAATCATTCTTTATATTAAAAATAATTATAATATTTAAAATTAGACTTTATTCTATAATAAATATTGAATTCTTTATTAAAAACGGTAAAGTAATAATGATTCTAAAACAGGCATTAAGCATAGGTAAGTAATGACTCTAGGAAAGCAAGACGTAACCAAATGTGGAGAAGACTAAAAGTCCTCTTTGCCATAAAAGAAATAAAGATAAAATTCTTTTTTATACTTCCTCTATAAATTAATATACATTCAATTTCTAATTTGTTCCATATTATTACTCAATTAAAATTAAAACTTAATCGAACATTTGTCATCATTTTTTCAACTCTCGTTCCATTTGTCATCGTTTCATTTGATTCAAAACCAAAAGAAAAGCCAGATTTTATCCAGCAACGATTAAACCAAAAACGTCAAAAACAAAATTATTAGAAGGGAATCATATACGAAGATATTCCTGAAAACACTGTGAACTGTGGGGGGTCTTTTTTGCTTTTCAAGGAGAAGCAATACGAAGATATTCTTGAAAACACTGACTGTTTTGTCTAAGCAATGAAGACCGGTTTCTCTTCATGTCCTGTAATCGAATTGTTGAAACAGTTCTAGGTGCTGTAATTTTCTAGTTTGGCTGCAAAAACCAGGCGTTGATCCCATATATAAGATTGGAAAAATAACTGCCAACCGGTTTATTTCAAGGATGTCTACAACAGGTTGCCCTTTTCTCACTTACCTTTCCGAAGCCTTTTGCAATGATTCCTAAAGCAAAGGGAAACAAACAAACTCCAACCATTTAGGCTTAGACATAAGATCCACCTCAACTATGTCAAAAAGTACAGCACATAAAGTCTTACATTTAGGCTTCTCGTTATCTAGTATTCCTTCTAGTTCAGCAATTTGATTCAGGAACTTCAGTACTTTAGAAAACAGAAGCTCTGCCTGGCTAGCCACCTGTTTATTGCAAAAAGATAATAATAGATTACAGAAATTGGATCCTTCATAAAACCAAAACGATTATTGTTGTACCTTATCTGTTTCTTGTTGTATCCATTTCTGACTCTCATGGTAAAACTCAGATTTTGGAGGCGGGAGGCAGACGGAATGAACATCAATTAACTATATCAATCAACTATACCGAAAGCAAGCCACCATTCTCCCAAATCTACATTGAGAGAGAGAGAAGAGTGCAGATGTGATGCCCGAAGATCTTTTCAGCTAACAATTCATGGTATTTTACCAGCCAGACCATGGTATACATCATATGTCAAATAGGAATCAATTAACTAGAACATTCAAAAAGTCTCTAAGATCACAGAAAAATATACTATGATTAATATCATCCGACCGAGGAGTCTAATGACACGGTGTGGCGAACTATAGTTAAAAGGGTCAATAGCCTTAAAAACTATATAATGGCACATTCTGAAAGAAGCTATTTATACTCGAACATGATAAAGAAAATTACCCATAGAAACGAAGAAAATCTCTATGTAATGAATGGCCACAGCTTGCAAGTTGCAACCCTGCTCGCAGCTGCATGGTTTGAAAAGCTAAGCTCAAAAAACTTCCCAAATGATAAACCCCATGCAGCATCAGACATCACTCTCCTGGAAGTTGCCGGAGGAAAACCATTGGTCCTAGGACATTGCAAGCATCTATGCCACATCCAGATCTTGCCCTCTTTTTCACCAGGCAAGAAAATTTCTGGGAGTTTCTTAACAGACATGGTTAGTGTTCCTTGTCGATGAGTATAACAGTGAACATGTGCTTCTGAAGGCAAGCCGAATCGTCACAAACTCTGTCCCAGTAACAATCAATAAACCAACTCGTTCTTTTGCATAATCAATAAACCTCCTTCCTTCTCCTCACTCACCCTGCCATTCACCTCAGTCGCTCACGGCTCCCACCTCAGTCAAAACAAATCATAGAGATTTCAGGTACCCAAACCCAAATGCCCTGATAATGTAACTTAGGGACAAGCCTATTCATTCCACTCAGAAATCAGAAGAAGAAAATGTAACTTACATTTAGATATACAGTAACATTCAACAATGGAAGCTGCAATTCAGAATTCAAGCAGCACAACTGAACAATAAAATGATATTATATTATAAAATTTGCAAATCCAAATTACTGACTACTACCACTAACCATAGAATGCTGTAGAGATCTAAAATTTGCAGATCAAAAGTACCACAACGGCAATGACTAGTTTAGCGTAAATTCCCTTAGCAAAATATAAAGAATATTTAAAACCCACAACAAATAATCAAAGGAACTGCGCTAACACCAATCTACTCGTCAATAAGCAAAATAAAAAGAAACCACCAATTGAGCCGTGAGAAAAGAGGTAAATCGCTCCAAAGTAGGGGTGTGCAAAATTACCCGACCGGTTGATCAGATCCGTCGACCCGGATCTAAAAAAACCGGGTAATTCTTTAAAAAAAAATTACCCGGCCGGCTCGGGTACCCGGCCCGACATTTCTCGGGTCGAGTCGGGGTCACAAAATCTAGTTTTTCCGGGTACCCGGTTACCCGAGTACCCGGTTATTTTTTGTTTTTATATATATAATTATATAAAATATAATGAATTATTTATATTATGGATTATTATATTTTGTATTTTGAACTTTTAAATTTTATGTTCGGATATTATAGTATGTAATTCGAAGTTTCAAACATTTAAATTTGTGTATATATTTTTTTAAATTAATAATTTAAAAATAAAAAATTAAAAACCGGGTATCGGGTACCCGCAAAATCCGGGTACCTGATTACCGGGTACCCGTAACATCCGGATCGGGACACGGGCCGAAAAATTATCGACCCGAAAATTCCGGGTATCCAGAAATCGGGTACCCGAAAATCCGGGTACCCAGATTTGCACACCCCTACTCCAAAGTGAACTCAAAATCGACCACTCTTTGGAAAAGATTAAACTCAATTTTCAACTTAACCTCCAAGAATTCAATATAAAACAGCTACCTCACCAAGTAAACAATGTAACTTCTCCAAAGAATTGATTTACAGTCGTTTTTGACAATGACGAGGTAGCTTCCAAGGCAATGATTAAGAAAATAAAAATCAAAGAATCCAAGGGTAGGAAAGCTAAAAAGAACAAGTCTCCCTCGGTAGAAGCAGGAGTTCGTTTTGTCTGGAGCAAAATCCCACATTAGGGGGAAAAAGAGAAAAATAGTGGTATTTAAGTAAGAAGGTCTTTAAAGCAAAAGTAAGGCCGCAGGCCCATCCAGGCTTTTGGATTTTGGGAATGGGCTTGGGTTGCTTGCTCAACTTGTATAGGAACCTTGCCTGTTGATTTGGAGATATCAGCTTCTTGGTTGTCTTTCTTCTTACCATCATTTATTCCCTCTTCAAAAGTGTCCCCTCCTTCTTTGCTCCTCAAGATTTTTAGGATACTAGTCAAATATCCTTTCTGTTCAGCAAACTCAGATTTCAGGTTCTCCAACCTTTGCTCCTTCTGTTCCCACCATTTTGGCATTTGGTTCTTCATCCAACCGATAGGTTTTCTTGAGGTTTCTAATATCAGGAGAGAGCACCAGATTTTTTTAAAAACAATTGTCAAATAGCTAAAAAGGTTTATATAGAGTTGTTCAAATACCAAAAAACTTTTATTCATTATAATTAATATTTTAAAATTTTCAGATTTTTTAGGGATAAAATTCAATTATTATTTAATTATTTTTACTAAAACAAAAAAGACCTTTAATGTTAAAATTATTACATAGTTAAATAAAAAAAAATCTGGTGCTCTCTCCTGATATTAGAAACCTCAAGAAAACCTATCGGTTGGATGAAGAACCACCCGATCCTGTACCATCTTTGTCCGGTGAAATGGATGTTGACAAGCCTACCCATTGTCCTCCTGAACCACGCCCTCCTCCTATTTCATACAAAGACACTCTCATCGGTGACGATGGCTCACTCCTACCTGCAGACGAGGAGCTTTTTGTGGAAATCGGTCGGACCGAAAACACACGTGGGGACAATCCGTATAATTTATTTTTAAAAAAATAATTATTTAACACCCTTATTTCTTTATTTTTTATTATTTCCTAAAAAAATGGCGTAGGGCTTATCAACAAATGAAAATAAAAACAAAAAAGAAGGAAGTTACATGCAGAAAAAGAGAAAGCAGACGTGGAAGAAGAATAGTGATTTGCAATTCAATACTATGGATACTCATACGCCACGTATTCTTCATGCACCCAACCTTGACTTTCTATAAAGCTCATCCTCCCTACTATTCACATCAACAACAAGAAAGCAAATCCCAGTGCTCATTTTGCCATTAATCTCAGACGAAAACAAAATGCCTGGCCTCACAATTGGAGACACCGTGCCCGACCTTGAAGTCGAAACCACCCACGGAAAATTCAAGCTCCACGACTACTTCAACAATGGCTGGACGATCATCTTCTCTCATCCTTGTATATATATACCTATGCTTCTTCTTCTTTTTTCTTCTATTTTTTGCAGTAATTTTTTTTATGTTGTTGTTGTTTTTGCATGCAGCTGATTTCACACCCGTGTGCACTACGGAGCTCGGCAAGATGGCGGCTTACCTGCCGGAGTTCGAAAACGAGGGGTTAAGCTTCTTGGTTTCTCTTGCGACGATGAACAGTCACACAAGGAGTGGATCAAAGACGTTGAAGCTTATACTGTAACTACCTTTTCTTCAGTTCCCTTTTTAAAAAAAGCTTTTAAAAATCTGTTTCGACCATAGTATTAAATTGCGGTTATTGATGTTGTGGCTTGATTAATCTCCTAAAAAGTAATTATGTTTTTTTGTTGCGGATGCGATTTGCGGTATCGTGGTGACCTTGAAAATCGTCACGGTTATGGTTTTGACATGGTTGTTTCTTTGGGAAGCCTGGGTGCAAGGTGACATACCCGATCGTGGCAGATCCCAGCAGAGACATCATCAAGCAACTTAACATGGTGGACCCGAATGAAAGAGACTCGTATGGGAACCAGCTCCCTTCTCGAGCTATGCATATTGTGGGATCCGACAACAAGGTGAAAGTGTTGCTGCTTTTTACATATGTATAATTAATATTTTTACTGACTCAAAATCAAAATGAAGCCATACCGGAAACATTTTAATGTTGATGTGTAGATCAAGCTGAGCTTTCTGTATCCAGCAACGACGGGGCGTAACATGGATGAAGTGTTGAGGGCTGTGGACTCGCTACTTAAGGCATCCAAGTACAAGGTTGCGACGCCGGCGAACTGGAAACAAGGTGATCCGGTGGTGATTTCGCCTAATGTAAGCAACGAGGAAGCGAAACAAATGTTCCCTCATGGTTTCGAGACCAAAAATCTTCCGTCGGGGAAGGAATACCTGCGCTTCACTAATGTCTGAGTAGTAAGTACTAAAAACCAGTTCAAGCCATAAACATGTATATCATAATACCAACTTATGCTTTTGTATGTGGTTGTGGGCTGTGGCTAAAAATTACCAAGACTATAAATATGTAAGTTTTTACTATGTACGTACTGCTTAAGCTTACGGCGGTTAAATAAAAGTTGTTGTTCGGTAAATTTTGAATTGTAAGAAAGTTACAAATTTTACTTTTTGCTGGTTGAAAAAAAAAAAAATATGAAAATGATTTTTCCGGAGTCGAAACTGGGCCTATTGCTTAGAAAGCATCTTAACCGTTGGATTACAAACGCATGTTATTGCTTGATTTAAAATTTTATTTTATCTAATATAAAATACAAGTTAAAGATAGTCATTATTAAGAGGTAGGAGTATAGTTGGTCCTATGTCTCATTCACTGAATTTTGATTAAAACGTTTAAAAGGTATCGAAAGATAATGAAGTAATGAGTAAAAATGTAACATAACAATTAAGCTCTACCTAAACGTAGTGATTATTCGAACTTATCAAACGGTTTCAATGGTATGATTAAGGGACATTATATATATACAAGGGAGATCAAAAACGAATACTACTTTGTACCTGAAGACGTTGTGCAGGCTCTTAAACATTATTCTCATGGTTTATATAGAATATATATTAGAAATGCCGCGTCCACCAAGCACCAAAGTTTCATCTTCTGGCACAGGAACAATACCAATTGTTGGGGTTCAACTGGTTACCTAACGGATGGAGTCGACAAGTATCTATGTACTTAATTCCAGCTGCCGGTAGCATCGTAGATGTAGGACTTGGACGGCAAATTTTTGGTTAATACATGGACAAGTTGTCGTGCATTTTGCCCTTGATGCTTGGAAGGCAAACCAAAAGGAAACAGCACTTGAAAAGTAGTCCTAGAGCTGAGTAGAGGGATTGTCATTTGCATTTTGGAGTGGAATGCTGCATCTAGAATTGTGCAATGCATTCAAGAAAATCTTATCAGAAACCCCAGTCAACAAATGCTGGCAGTGCAGAACAATGGTTCGTGAAATGTAGCTTGGACTTTTTCTTCTTTGTGTTTCTCATACCAAACTCAAATCTTTATGTCATTGTAATAATTCTTTGTTGAGTTGGCTAGGTGGTAAGTAAAATATAAATGCAAAAAAAAAAGTTTTTTTCTTTTTGAAAAATGGAAAAATCCAAATACACTTTGCTTTACTTTAAAAGTAAAGGTATCAGTAATTGACAATTCTCATTTATAAGATGAAGTGCAACAGCAGCCTGTGCTAATGCTAAAGCCTTGATCTGGCTATCTATTGATATTGTTGCTATCATTGCTTCCTCTTTCAATACTAATTGAGCCACAAACCTCAAACCCCTTCAGATTATTACAATAAAAGCTCAAAATTTTTCCTTTGACTCTCCAATTTTTGTAGTTAGCCGCATGTACTGCTCACGTGCTTCTTGGTCGCGAGCCATGGACTTCACTCTTGCTAGAGCTTTTCCGATTCCATCAACTTTCTGTTGCTGACCGACTTTTAGAAATTCGTATTCATTACCTGCGTCGGTATCTGATGCTGCATTTTCAATGGCAGTTCGCATCCGGAATCCTAATAGACCAGAACCTTTACGCCTCCATAGCAGGATTATCTTTTCAACAATACAGACAGACCAAAGGAGCTTTTTGTACTGTTTACGAACCTGATGTCCCCTCACACGAGCCTAAAATTAATGATAAGCAGAATGAACAGGTAATTCATACTACAAATCAAGAGATCAAAAGAGAAAACATAAAAAACAACTTTGATAACTTATGTCCAAGAGACATCAATGGAAGCAAGTAAGAATATGAATCTTTCTTGAAACTTTGATAATCCTGCCTAATATGAAAACAAACAGAAAAAAGTAATTGATGTAAATTGTAAAGTACCTGAATTTTCACAATTCGATTTCTTAACTTCAAAAACTCATTCATTCCTTTCCGGCCACGGTACTTATGTTGGATCTTTGAAGCTGCAGTGTGCAAATAGTCTCCAAAATTACTCATCTTTTGATGCCTATTCCAAGATCCAAGAATACCTAGTTCAAGTGATACTTCAGACATATCATCATTGCCTTTAGTTGATTGAAAATGGGATAAGAGGGCGTGAAACACAGCTTGAATTAGAGCAGCTGCTTGAGCTGATTTTCTAACAGCAGCGAGGGACCCTTTCAATGCACAATTCTCATCAAATGCCCCATTAGACGGAGCAACTTACGAAGCAGTCTCAACAGCGGCTTGTGCTGCCATAGTTGCAGCATCATTATCAACCACATTTTGGTTAACAGTCAATGAAGAAAGACGGGTGATCAAATCAGCTTCAGCTATGTATCCAGCTATTCCTTTGTGACCTCTACCTGATGCTAAGTCAGCTGCGGTTCTTCCACCAGGTATACTTGGTGTGGGATCATCAACACCACCACGAGATGCGCCTAGTTTAATAAGCACAATGACTGTTTCTTCTCTGGAAAAAGAAAATGACCATCAATACAAAACCATTATTTTATTCCAATTACGTGTAATTGATTTTGAAATTTGAAATTTAAAAGTAATTCAAAATCATCAAAATTGAACATACAGATATTTAACAAGAATTAGATATATGACGAAACTGTGCAAAGACTTGACCTTCCAAAGTATGATGCCCAGTGAAGAGCCGTTCTACCTCGTGCATCTCTAAAATTAGGACTTATTCCTGCAGCAACTATAAGATCCATTGCCCACTCATAACCAAGAGAAGCAGCCAAGTGTATGACTCCTTGACCTTTGCCATCTTCATGAACCTTGTTTATCAGCCACTCACGAAGTTTTTGCATTAGAAAATTCAGAATTAATCCATCTTTAGATTGTTACTATCATTTGCACTTGCTATTCCTGTTGAATTTATGTTATTTTTCAACCAACATTTATCACATTCCTCAACAGCACAAACCTCCCGCTTTCTTCTGGGACCAACATGCAACAATTTTGCCAAACGAACTTGCAAGTGCATTTCCTCTTGTGCTGTGCTTTTAACAGCTGTAATAAAGGAGAATCCAGGTGGGTTTATCTCATTGCAAGCCAATCTGTTGCTGCAGGTGATATAAAATGGAACACGTCCAGGAGCATGAGAAGGAACTTGACAACGAATAACATTGTTGGTCAAAACCTCCGCAGAAACTTCAATTTCACCAAACATACAGCCCCATTTGGCAGCGTCGGGAAGCTTTTTGTTTCGTAAAAAATTTCCAACAAGTAAAACCTAAAACGTAAGAAGCATTCATGGGTAAGTATGATTTCATGAAAGGCAAATGACACTTTAACAAAACATTACACACAAATCATATTTCTGTACCTTTGTTCCAACTCCTGAATAACCCAGTCAGGTGAGAAATCAATGATGCTAAATAACTGTTCCTGAGAAAGAGAAGGACCCAAGGAATCGATATCCAGCTGCATATGGTGGGATAAACCGGATACTTCCTTGTCATCAGTCTCAGTGTAGTGTATTCCAATAAGAAGCTATCAAGGAATCATCATAATCTCCACCAATTTCTTTATCCATCCATCTTCCAAAGCTAGCAAGTTTTTCAGCTCTCCCGGTTCATCATTATGTGCACCGATGTCTTTGGGTTCATTTTCATTTTGCTTGGAATAGGAGACTACCTTTTGAGGACCAGAATGATTCTAAAACTGCAAACCTATCAAATTGGAATCATACTGCTGTAGCTCCTGCAGGAGATCAACTATCAATCGATAAACTTCAACATACCTGGAAACAACATACGAGGTAAATGGAGTGATTCTAGGACATCACTAAGGTGTCATAGGTTATAAAGTGATGGCTTAAGTTCATGGAAACAGAAGAACAGCATTATATTAGTCATTTGTGTTTACTTTAAAACTGAAGCTGCTAAAAGATGCAAAGATAAATGAATTACAATTATATGCTATACAACTTAAGGCACAAATTGCATACTTATCTAAAGCATATTCTATATATAGCTCTAATTTCTAAGCCTCAGTGCTATTAAGAACTATGCGGAATACAAAATGCATGTGTCCTTGTTATGACAGACCTGGATTAGCTTCCCTGGATATTCTCCAACTGCTTGGACGCCTACATTGTTGATTAACTTGTCTCCACATGTTACAGCATCTGAGATATCATGCACTCTCAACTGTACTTCCCTATGAGTTTTAAAGTCAACTGTTGCAGGCTGTTCAATATAGAGCTTTTGATCTGGCATGCTAATGGTATTTGTGGCCAAGTTATGGATGCCAGGCCAGAAACCTGAAAAATGGAGGATGATCGGCATAGATCTTACTACTATATTAAAAATTGCTAAAATAAATTACTAAAGTCATGAGTTTTAGGGTGCATGGTTATTTTTTTCTATTTCACGCTCTCGATCATTATTTTGAAGGTGATAACGACATATTGAGGATTCCAGTGTGTAATCAATTAACCTCACCAGCAACTTCAGGTTCCACTGAAGCAGAACAAGATATGGAACCATATACAGTTCGGTCAGGAGAATCAGCACTTGGATAATCCCTAGAGTCAACATCCTCAAATTCAGAAGATAATGTTTTCCCCTTCCAATCAACTCTGCTTGTCGATGCAGGAGATATCTCGATTGTAGCGGCAGCTGAATTTTGCTGTGCTAGGGAAGAAGCTGAACCAGTTTGCAGGCTTTCACTCCGAGATCCTGGGTCTGGTAGTAAACGAGAGGTTCCAGATCTGTACCCCTGCAGAAATGAATACATTGTATTGCATAGAACAAAAATATGAGTATATGATACTTTAAAAAAAATCAAACCAAAGACAATTAGAATCTACAAGTTAAAACATGGATCCTCCAAGATATTTGCAACCTAAAGGGCATTTCTTGTTGACACAGGGCGTAGAATTTTTTGCATTGTCTTTATCTTAACTTAATTCCTAATAAGGGAGAGAGAGAGAGAGAGTAAGATTATACCTCTTTTACTTCTCTGTAATGAACAAAAGCAATATGTTCAAACTC